GATACTGAGAACCTGACTAAAATGAGAGGATAAAAATAGCTTCTATGTAAAATCAATAGGCAGTGAAAAGAAAAGAAGAAAGTGAAGGTATATTAACCCAATGTTAGGAACAACCCAGAAATGATACTTTGGAAGACTATTGGGTATTTTAATGCAAATAGGTTTTTGCTACTGTCCTCTATCTTCCAAATAACATAGAAGTGAATTACAGATCCTAATTTACATGGGGATAGCAACGCAAGTTTATATGGGGATAGCAATACAAGCTTATTTCTATGAAATAGGTTTTTGCTAGTGTCCTCTCTCTTCCAAATAACAGCAGACCCACTTCTATTCTTCTCACTTTAACTGAGTATCATGAGCGCCCATTTAACAAATTTCATTTTTGTTCACCAGTATGATATTGCTTTTCTGCAGTTATGGATTCACAGATTGGTCATAAGTAATATTACATTAGTAATAAAGCAAACGTCTGTGTTGTGTAATGTGAACAACAAAAAAAGGAAATTGTAAACATGAGAATCAAAATCCTAAACCCAAAAAAAGGAAAATGAAATTCCAAAAACTTACCGAGTGAAAGGATTGATAACCGCTTACAATTAAGTTAACAGGTTCTTCAATACATTGCAATTCCAAAAAGTAGGACTAAAACACCCAAAATCTAACATAGAAGAGAATTACAAATCCTAATTTAGAAGCTAATCACAACGGTTCGCAAGAATCTACAACTGAAGAATAAAATATGGTAGCATATGAAATAGGAGCATAGCAAATGAAATAGGAAGAGAGACAGAAACCATTTACCCAGCCCTTCAACTCCCAAAGAAAAAAAAGGGGGGTATACACTACTTGCAAAGTTTAAGTTTATACAATACATACCGATTTAGAGATTTCGGAGGGGAAAACAGAGAGAGACAGAGCGACGGGATCAGAATCAAATAGCATCCATCGTCGGTATGGATTATGGGGAGATTTTCTGGGTCAATGTCGCTGGTATTTCAAGGGCCGGTTCTGCAGGAGAAATGGGACGCAGCAATGTTGTGAGAAGAAAAAGAAATGTTTTGGGTTTGGTGTGTTTAAGGGTTTCTTTCACTTTGAATTCCCTAGAAAACTAAAATCAGCTCAACCATGAGAATTGGAATTCTTGCTTTTCGTGGAATTAGGGGTCACGTGAGGAAAAGTAAGAAAACCAAATGCCTGGAAAAAGTTGCCTATCAAATAGGCAGAAAGTTGGAAAATGGTGGGGAATTTTCCATTTTTCATGGAAAATATAGCGTATCAAACGGACCCTAAGTTTCTTTCCATAGTTTAATTAGTAGAGATATTGGCATGTGCTTTGACTTTATGGCAATGGCAAAAGAAAAAGGGAAGACATTAAGAACAAGCATTATGCTACTCAAACAGGGGCTGGGACATGCATGTATAAGAATAACTAAAAATTAATTAACGTTTATTGTATATGTATTTTACTGTATACAAACAGGAATTATATTTGTGTTCATCTGTTGTTCAAATCAACAATCCAACTAACTTATCCGTAATTGAAGTTTACTTTCGTCATGGAGTATGCAAATGCGCTTCATACCTATACTTAGCAAATTAGTCGAGTGATTTAACGATGCAATTGTTATTTAAAGAACAGGGTATATTGCATTCCTTTGCTCTGTTTGCAAGTTGATTTGATGTTCAACATGAAAATCTTTTGAAGCGCCCGTTGTTTCCCACCATGTGACCGTTTGATCTTGAATATGAAATCGGTAGTAATTAGACATTTAAAAAGCGATAAACAGACTGTATTTGAATTAATTTTCACCATCATTGGTAGATTATTTACCGTCCAAAAGATCATCTACACATATAAAAGCTTACTAATATGTTCCAACTTGTCTTATACTTTGATACTCGCTTCTTATATAACGTGCATATTTACTATTTAGAAAATAACAAGAAATTACAATCTTATTTATGGTTCTCTACAGTAGTATATATCAAACATACTCTTGAGTATTTGCTTGACTTGTTCCGCAAGGTCTCTAATGTAATACTTCGTGTGCGATACTAGAAAGAACTCATCGATACAATGTATACAATTTGAAATTTTCTTTCTTGATAATATCAAATACTATACAATCCACTTTATGAGTAATAATGAGTTTAGTAAGAAAACCATTTTCCATTCCATCTTTAGTGCGGAAATCTAAGGATATTTCGAGAACTTTTAGGACAAGTGTGGTGCACAGAACTGGGCAACACTCCACAAAATAATTGACTAGACCATACAGTGATGTATTCTTTCACATGTATTTTTTATGAAATCAAATGAATCACCATGGCCAAAGCCAAGCTTATAGAAATTAAATGGCAGATGGGACAAACATATACCTTTGCATTATGCAAAATAACAGAACACGTGATTACAACAAGAACTGATGTGTTGTCCAAAAATGGTAGGCAGTTTACTAATGCACTGTTTAGCACTAAGAAATCACAATATGTGACCAAAATCCATGGCAAGTTGAACAAACATTGATACTCTATTGTCATTCATTCTTTACTTCGTGTTCAAAGGCTTCCAAACAGATGGTAGGGAACTGTTTTACGATTTTATTAATCCTGTTTCGTTCCTGATATCCTTTACTTAAAGATCATGCATGCAATGATCAAGAAAAATAAAAGCAACTCAAACTAACATCAATAGTTTGTCCGAGTCTAGGACCTAGGATATTTGTTTATTACTTTTACCTTCTGAAAACCGAAAGCAAGGACATTTTGTCATTTTCATCATCCAGTTCTACTTAAGACGGTTTCATGGGGGTACATCTTGAGTCGTCCAGAGCGAAATCATGCGAATGCACTTTATAAGTGCATTTTCTTTATTTTATAAACTATGACAACATTACAACCAGAAAAGCATCCAACTGTGAAAATTTACACGCTGTTGCTTTACAGAAAATCCAAAATATTGTCACTCAACTTACAAAAATGGTGCGAGACACGTGTCCTGTGAGAACTAGAATGCAATTTCTTCAAGAATTTGAAGTGTATTCTGATGAACCTGTAACACAAAATCAGGATTCAAATGCTTCAGCATCTTACATGTATAATGGTGTAGGATATCCCACCATACAAGCACCATTTGACAATTCTATGCCTCCTAGTGATGAAAGCAATGACAGCAAACTCATAGATTTGAGGAAGTTTAAGAAATGCAGAATAATCTCAGAGACGAAAATGTTTTGACATTTTGGCAACAGTCCATTTCGTTGTTTGGAATGAAATTTGGTTCATAAATTTGAAACAATCACTGGTTCCAAATTAAATTCAGCAGAAGTTTCTGGTAAATTTTTTTAGCTACCAAAAGGAATGCACGCAATACAAGAATAATAGGAGAGAGATTACAAGACAACATGCAAATATTCTAATTAACATCAGAGATCTTTATTTGTATTATTCATATTTTATTTTAATACTTTTTCAGGGAATAGGGGGTATAGATAAGAGAGAAACAAATAGGCAGATGACTAGTTACCCATTCTAGATGCTGTGCGGTAATTCCAGAAACGTTTCCTGCATATATGCCACCTAATACCTAATAAGTTCAAAAAAAGCATAGATTAGAGTAAATCAAATAAAATTCATGCTAATCATTAGAGTCAAACACAGACAAACCAAAATTTGCAGCCGTAATATCCTACTTGGACTCATTACACGTGTCTATATATGTGCGTGAATCTACTAAATTTACTGACTAAAATTATACAATATATCCATCTGTTAAAAGTTATTTGGGAGAGATTTTCGAACACAAAGAAACTGAAATAGCCTAGTCAACCATACTTGTATCATGATCATAGAAGCAAACTCGTGGTACCTTGGAAACAGTCTCAAGAAACATGCCAGGGCGTACAGGTAATGCTTTACAACCAGTAACACTTGCCTGAATATCAGAATAAGATGGTTAAATACATGCATCACCTAACTCATGACGATACATCTAGATCTAGAATAATAAAAATGATTATCTATCATTGTGGCAGAACATTTCTACCTTTCCTGCAATTCCACTTGTCTTTTCACCTATGATACTTTCATCACCTTCAGAACTGTCAGCACCTTCATCTTTTCCTTGCATTACACTTTTTATCATCTCACGAACAGTTCTCCCTGGTCTTAGAGCAACAAGTTTAGTTAAAAAGTTGACCTGTCAAACACAGTGAAGTTAATATTCTTAGAAAGGAGTAGAGGCATCTTCACCATAACACTAAAATGATTAAGCAACTGACAATTTCAAAAAATAACAATGTAATCAGTTGAACATTTCATTGAAAATTATAATGATAACCAGAAATTACAGACCTCTGATTCAGGAAGAATATTCAGACCACGATCATTTCTTTCATCTAGTATTCCACCTCCCATCATATTCCTGGCTTCTTCTCTGATCAACACCAGCCTTGCAAGCAGCTTTCGATCGGGAACAACAGGACGAGATTCCATTGTCTGCACAAAAAATGGTTGCATGGAACCATAAATGGCAAGTTGGTATAAAATGAATGAATTTTATTCAAGAATGCTAAGTTAAATAGTACCCATAATCAAACAGCATATGAGGGATCATAGTCTCAAACTGAGAAACTGAGAGGAAGAGCATGAATGCACGATGATACAATGACAGTACAAAAATGTTAAGACTACAAAAATTTAAAAAGTTGCAAACAGAACTTAAGAAAATATGTTGAAAATTTATTTGACCTATTTTGGGGGTGGGGTAGGGGGCAACGGTTCAAGAAACAAAATTGCTTCACAGGGTGACCTAAACCAAGAAATAATTTATTAAACATCTTCACCTTCAGGTATCAAAGAATGAGTAGTCACGTGATGCAATTTCGTGCTGATGAAACTAAAATGTCACCCTACATGGTGCTCTTATATTAAACTGCATTCACCAAAGAAATAGCACAAACAGAGTGAAAATTCAAATATTATTTAATAACTTAGTAACAAGTATTTTGGCAAAAAACTTCAGTTCAATCATTCAATGATCTATCACAGAACATTAGGTCATTAGATGGATGAATTGGAGTGCAATGAAATAAAATGTTGACTTCAGAATGATAAATGTGATATAGATGTCACAAAATATGATATCATCTTTCGAATAGGAAGGTTGCACGTTTTGTGCTAAAAACAAATACAACGCGAAGATTTATGGGGCGAAGATTTATGGGGCCACTCAATAAACAAGAGATATAATAGAAGATGAACCCACAAAAAGTCCAACTGCATGCAAGGTAAAAAATGCTTAATGTCATGTAAAGATTGTATCAACCAATTAATGTCCAACCTTCGTCAAAGAAAGATTAAATATTTGCAGGGAATTGTTATGATTCTACAGAAAAACTGTCAATACAGCATGGAAATATCTGGGTGTGAATCAGATATAATTATGAATTGAAATATAAGTCGATTTCTATTGGCACAACTGTCCACAATGGAAATCCAGTACTCTTCTCCCATTTCATTAGTTCCATCATTTGAACCAATTTGGTCTAATCTAATTTAATCAAAACCTGGAAACTGGCAGAAAAAAATATGTGACACGACCATAATTTCACACAGTTGAGATATAAAAGCAAAGCATGCATATTTGAATAGCTACCTCCAGAAGATCATCAGCCTGGTTAGCTATATCATTCAAATTGGCCCCTGGAAGATGAACTTTTGTATTATTCTCGCTTTGAAATACACCACCACCAGCAGCTACTCGTCTGAGTAATTCGTGCCTGCTTTCTTTTTGGGGAGTTCTACAGAGAAGGCCAATCACTTGAACCTAAAGAAGGATGTGACAGAAAGGTTCTTCCGTTAGCCTGAGTTTAAAATGATATTATATAATTGAGACAAATAGTGGTTGAGTTCACAAGGACTCTCACGTGAGGGGGACATTCTTTAGTGAGATGGGATAACACGGTCTCCTTAATCATCTCCAAGAGGGACTTCCTCTGAAAAGAAATAATTAATAAATAAATGTATTCCACCATATTAATGTTTCCATAAAGCAATAATGTGAATGCAAAAAAAAAATAATAATAAATAAAAACGAAGGCAACCAGCCCTGAACAAAATTATAAGAATAAGGTTGTAGCACTAAATAATGCGTAGTTCATCCTATAAACTTAAGATGAGAAAAAAGGTGCCACGTCTATGTAAATAACAAATGGATATTGTTATTTTAAAACCGCCACTAAAACCAGAATCCCAACCCAAATAACTTTCTGTCAGAAGTTCATGCCAATAGAATAAACATCTCCAGCCTCTAGACTCAATCAACATTGTCAATTCATTTTCAATTGTTATATGCCTTTCATGATAAGGTGAGAGTACTAGCTGGTTATGCAACATAAATCAGAAGGATTTATAAGCACGCCATAAATTTTATGCCTGAGCTACTCATGATTACTCACAATGAAAAGGCCTCTTTCAAGAACCTAATACCTATAGAAGGCAAAAAGAAAACGGTTCTAATCTCATTCTTATGTCCGATTAAAGTGATTAACAGTTATAAATCCTGCAAGGACTCTGTACAAACCAGTGTACACAATGCAAACTGTTAATCTTTTTCACCGATGCAAAAGTGAAAAGTTGTTGAACTTTGAATTAAACCATAAACATGACCTTAAAAATTAAATGTCCATATTATAAATCATTACCTTATCATCCTGGTCCTTTTCAGCAATTTGAATCATGTAATCAAGAGCCATCATAAACCCTGATTCCATCTGATCAACTCTCTTCCCAATCACTCCCTGTGCAGCCAACTGTACAGCCACCTCTTCGGATGCTTCATCCATGTTCATATCTTCTAACTGTTGCATAAATAGATTAAACAGATAATTGTATTTCCATTTTTTGAACAGTGCATAATTAGCAAGACATTACGAACTTGGTTTCTAATAATGAGCTTCTATAGTATACCTTTAAAAAAAATTATTCTAAAGATCCAAAACCCTCAGATAAAAATATTTTATGATCAAAGTTATTTCAAGAGTTCATTACTTGATTGTGTCTAAACTCCAAATATCGTAGCAAGTAAAATTCTTAAATTCCACATATCCAGTTGGATTTCTGGAGTTTTTAGACAGTAGTTTAGGTATAGGGTTTAGTTTCCATTTATGTAAGTCTCCATTACAATCTCCAATTCTTTTAAACCTGCAATCTTCACAAATATAAGATAAATAGCTAGCATAACACAACTACGCTGTGTACCGTGTCAAAAGTGAATCAGTATATACACGGCAGAATTAAGTTCCAACACCAACTGAACGAGTCTAAAAGAGAAAAAGTAAAGAAACTTTAACATCAAATGCAAGAGATGGCATCAAATTGAAATCTTATGCCCAGTCCTTGAATCCCTTTTACCCTTAATTCCTTACTGAAACAATTCCAAGCTTCCAAAGCAACAATAGAAAGTATGGCTAATGGCCTTATGGTTTAGGCTTTTGCCCGAGAATTTGACAAGCTTACAATAACTTGTAAAAATTTCCCAAAAAAAAAAAAAAAAAAAAAAAAAACCTGGAGCCTATTCCGAAAAGCTAGCAAATGGAACTTACGAGCTTGACCATTTCTTCAAGAACAGACGTGACCTGTTCACCACCTCTGAGCAGAGCTTCGTAATGGGCAGCGTCCAATTTCCGGTTTCCTTGTTCTCCTCTTCTATTAGTAGTTCCACCGTCTTGTGCAAAGAATTGGTCCATGGGTAAGCCCCGAGAGGCGGCTTCAAAAGTGCCGCACAAGGCCAAAAAGCTGGTCCTCTTTGAGGTGGGTTTTAGCGGCAAGTGGTGAGGGCTTTTGGGAAAAGTAGATGGAACTGAATTTGAACGAGTAGTCGTAGAAAAAGTGAAGTTCGGAACTGAGGGAGAGGCCATGGAAGAAAAGACAGAGAGACTGGTTTACTATAGAAGTGAAGCTATCGAATAAGGATTATAGAAGCGAAGCTATCAATGGTGTAGTGTACAAGCATTTTCCATCAAGTAAGGATTGTGCTAATGCAAGTGAGGTAGAATAGGGGAAAATATAAAAATGAAACGCCGTCTGTGGGAATCGAACCCACGACCACATGGTTAAAAGCCATGCGCTCTACCGGCTGAGCTAAGACGGCTACTTGGCTACGTAAGCGTAATAGGTTTATATTTATCAATAGTAACCCATCACGGCCATGCAAATTAATTTTATTTTACCATGATCACCCAACTTGATTTTATTTTATTTTATTGTGACCATCCAATTTCATATAACATTTCACATATACTTTTTTCTTAAAAAAAAAAAGTTACTTAAAAGTGAAATAAAATAAAAACTTATTTTTAACAAAAAATTTCCTTAAAAAATAAAAACTTAATTAAAAAACATTGCTTAGAAAAATAAAATAAAACAACTTTTTAAAAATATATATATATATAATGCAAAGTTATCATTTTACCCTTTTAAAATTAGTGAAAATGTTGAAAAGAAATTGAGTGATCATAGTAAACCGTTGTATAAATTTGGTTATTATAATAAAATAGTATAAAATTGAATAGTCATGATAACGCTAAATATAAATTTTGATGAAACAAAATCAAATTAGGTAGTCATAAAAACACTATGAGACTGTTTGTCTCCTTGGGAGAAATTATAAATTTTTGAATATTATTTTTTGAAAAATGAGTAGTTAAAATTTAAAGAAGCTTTATTGATTTATGGGTAAAATATTTTATTGTGTGAATGTGTGGTAAAAATTTTTATTATAGCAAATAATTAAATTTGTTAAAGGGTGATAGAGTGACTAAGTGTTCAATCATAATACTTTTATAAAATTAAAATTAATGAATAGGTTTAGGCAATGCAATTTTCCCTTTGCGTGGCACACTGGCTTAATCCATGCTTTCTGACATGTCAGCAAAGTATCAACCGTTGATGTACCTTATCCTTCTCCAAATTTTGCTCTCTCCTTCATTTTTTTTTAAATTGTAGAATATACAAAATTGTCCAATTTGCTTTCCATAAATAGGATTGCACTATCATATATTATTATTTTTCCTACATGCATTTACACACATATATTAGTTTTCTAATTGATTTTTGGTTTGATTCTTCGTCTTACAAAGCAACTAATCCAACTAGACTATATGTAGAGTATGTTTGATCCTCATTTTTGAAATAAAATGCATTTTGAAATAGTAAATTGATACAGAAAAATAAATAAAAATTTTGAATTTGCGTGTGATATTATTATTTATTGAAAAATGTGTGATTGAAAACAAGAAATAGAAAATTATATTTTGAAAATAATGAAAATTAAACAAGGGCTTAAACTTTTTTAGGGCCCGTTTGATAAAGATTTTGAAAATTCAAAAATTATTTTTTAATAGTAAGAAGTTGATTTTAAAAATTTTTGAAAATAATTTGTTTGATTAAATGAGTAAAGGCTGAGCCCCTATTTGGCGGCCATCTTTTCAAGAAAACATCGTTTTGAATAGTATATTTTTAAAGAATGTATAATTAAAAAGGAAGAAAAAAATTTATATTTATGTGTAGAATATTTTATTTTATAAATGTGTGATTGAAAATGAGTAGAAATTTTTTTTATTTTATTATTATTATTTTTTTTTTGGGGAAAGAATCAGAGACAAACCAAGGCTTACCAAAATATCATCAATGACTTGTGAATTCAAATTTCATCCACGCTGCACTTTTACACGGGAGAATGAGAAGAAAATGGCCTCCAACAAAATTTGGCCGTTAGCGTGAGATACTGGCATTCATGTAAATAAGGACAAAGTGGAGGTCAACTGTCGAAAGGTTAAATTGTAAATAAGAACAAAAAGTAAGGGCTAAAGTGGAAATAAAATTAATTGAACCTCTATTAGATTATATTAGATGTTTATATTATATTGACAAATTTTATTTGATAAATCATATTTTAATTACAGATAAACTTCTTAATTGTTGTTCATTATAAATAAGGATGGCAACTGGACAAATTCGAGACGGGGCAAATTTTTTGCCCCATTTGTTATCCCGTTTAATTTTATTTTTTTTACATTTTCAAAATTTCGAGTTATGTCATTATTAGAGAATAAAATACAAATTCAAAATAAATTTTTAACAGGTGAGTTGTTTAGAAATAAAATTATTTTTAATATTTTTTTTCCTTCACGGGGCGAATTGGGGTGGGGGCGAGCATTCTCGCCCCACCTTGCCTCGCCTCCCAACCTATTCGAAAGGAATTTTTTTGCCCCATTGGAGGAGGGATGGATTTTTTTACCATCACTAATTGTAACAGTTATTTTTTTATTTTTATTTTTGAATTCTTATCTTCAACTTTTCATTAATTAGTGTGTCTCGTACTTGAAGATATTTTATATCAAAATATTATATTTCCATATTTTGAAATGAGGGAAAAAAAAATTTTTTTACTTTTTTATTTATTTTTAAACATATAATGAAAAAATAAATTATTTTACGTCATTTCAACGAATTTTTGGACATGAAATTATTATTTAATATAAAATTACCTAATGAAAAGTTTGAGAATATAAATAACAAGAAAAATTGTTAGAGACATAAGTGCTACAATGAGCAAAAATTAAGAACTTTAAATATAATTTAAATATAGTATATAAGAAATAAAATGGGTTATATTATATGTATATTTTTTTTTTACTTTTTTATTTATTTTTAAACATATAATGAGAAAATAAATTATTTTACGTCATTTCAACGAATTTTTGGACATGAAATTATTATTTAATATAAAATTACCTAATGAAAAGTTTGAGAATATAAATAACAAGAAAAATTGTTAGAGACATAAATGCTACAATGAGCAAAAATTAAGAACTTTAAATATAATTTAAATATAGTATATAAGAAATAAAATGGGTTATATTATATGTATATTATGGTATCCATAATGAACAAGTGATACAATGTTATGGGAGAGTTAAAAAGGAGTTTTTTCAATCTTCCAATCATGAAATTTCACATGTACATTATGGATACTACATATAAAATTATCCTAAATGGTGCAAATATAATTATCATATCCACGTATACACACAGACGATTACCAGTCCTCGCTTCCTATAAATATATGCTCAGCACGCGTTTTACGTTCATTTAGCCCTTTCATTTTCTTCACGCGCTCTCTGCATTCTCTCTCTTAGGTTTTTACTCTCTCTCTCTAAGTTGATGGCGGAGGTACAGAACGGAAGTGGAGCTGAGGAGAAGGCCTCTACTGTGGCTTTTACGGCGGTGAAGCCATGGCTGGTGGTGGATGCGCCGAAAGCCAGCGACGCCGTGCAGTTTTACAAGACTGCCTTCGGAGCTGAGGAGCTGAGCCGCCTTATGAACCCCAAGAGGAAGGCTGATCATGAGATTCCACTTGTTCTATCTGCTGAACTCAGGATCGGCTCCGCCATTATTGTTGTATCTGATCTCATTGACGACTCGTCTGCTACGTACGCTTTTTCGGCCTTTGTCCATTTTCTTCATTCACTTTCTTTGCTTACGCTTGGAGGTCTTTCCTCTGTTGCATCGCGTTATATTAGATCTAAGTTGTGATGATTTAAAATGATGTTCATCGTATTTTGTTTTCCCTCTGTAATCACTCATGCTATTATAAATAATATATCTACTCGTGTGACACTGTGACTGATTGAGTAGTTAATGTATGCTGTTGCTTCTTCTTCATTGTTTAGGGTCAAGTCTGCAGTAACCGGAGGTGTGATCTGCCTTGAGACTGAGGACATCGAAGCTGCCTTGGCCCAGGCTGTAGACGCGGGCGCCACTACGGAAGGAGAGATCTCCGAGGGTGAAGACGCCTGCTGCCGCGGGCGCGTGGGCAAGGTGAAAGACCCCTATGGTAATATCTGGCTTATCTGCTCTCCCTCGAAGAAATGCGCCGACGTGGAAGCTTAAGAACCCTCTGATGTTTAATCAATTAACTTGCATTACTTTTTGAAGTCTTGTTTGTTTCTATTTTGTCTCCAGTCAAACTTGGTTAACTTTTGGAACCGTTAATGGGAGTGGTATTAGTATATCATGTATTGGTGAGGGATTTTGTTGGATTATGTGACCTTTAATCTGACAGCTGGCAGTTATGTGCTGACTAAGGTTTTATTATGGGTGGGAGTATTTTCGTTTTAACTCTGGTCGTTATCTCCAATGGTATTGCTGTTTGGATAAAGTAGAAATATTCGCGAATTCCACAAAATACGATAATTTTAACTAGTAACTTATAAGCGTGAGCGAAGGGCAAATCAAGATTCTCATGTTTATGGGTCTGAGAGCTGGTAAAGTAGAAAGCAATGTTTACTGGTCAAATGTAATCCAGCATTATGTGGAGGAGGTAAAGTGGAAAGCGATGTTTACTGGTCAAATGCTGGAGAAATGATTTTCAATGCTACTCTAGGGCAAACCCCCTTGGACAACTCCTGGGCGTCGGGGAGGTTATCAAAGAAGCATGGCCCACTACTCGATCGTTCGCTACTGCTGTCCAAATTGTGTATACTATTAGATTAGTAATATGACTTTTCTAATTTCAGTTTCTTAGTTAATTAATTTGTGCCTGAAAGGTTGTAATCTATATTAAGGGCCTGTTTGTTGGTCATTAATTTTGCCATTTAATGAATTATTTGACCGTTGCAATTAATTCATCTGACAACCCATGTGCGACCCCTGGGAACCTTTTTTTTCACACTTTCCATTTGTTGCCCTTACTTCCCAAACGAAAAGGCAACCCGTCTTCTGAAACTGTCGACGATCGACAACAGACCCAAGCGGCCAACCACGAACTGAAATTGACGGTGGGTTTCCTTCAATTACATCAGCCAAGTGACAATACTTCCAGTCTCCGAAGACCCAGACAGTTTTCAAGGACGCGCGCACCATCGAGAAAGCCGTCGAATAATCGCAGTCGCCCGTCCGGTTAGCGACGTCCTCCACACTCGAAAGGCCGCCGATCACATGGATCCCGCCCACACACCGGTAGGTCGTCGAACACGAAATTCTTTGATTCTGTCTACTTGTTCATAAAACAACAACTTACGGGCATTACAGGGAGTTCAAATAGTGTCTAGTTCATTTGTTAAACTGTAATTATATGTAGTAATTAACTTCGTTTGATGTTTTGGAATATGCTTTTGGGCAAAATTGATATTGTGGCAGTTCGAGATGCACCTGCCTCTGGGTTCATATCTCAACTGCCATATGCAATGCGCTACCATTTTTTTCGAAGTAGGATTAAATTGTTTCTACTGCATTTGTTAATCTGTAATTATACGTACTTATCAACTTCGTTGGATGTTTTGGAGTATGATTTTGGGCAAAATTGATAGTGGCTGTTCGAAATTTTCCTGCCTCTGGGTCCGCATCTCAACTGCCTTATGCATTGCGCCACCATTTATTTCGAAGTAGGAGTCAATTGTTTGTAGTGTATTTGTTAACCTGTAATTATATATAGTTATCAAATTCATTGGATGTTTTAGCGTATGATTTTGGGCAAAATTGATATTGTGGCAGTTCGAAATACACCTGTCTCTGGGTTCGCATCTCAACTGCCATATGCATTGCGCTACCCGTTTTTCCAAAGTATTTGTTTGGCCGTATACTCTTCTACGAAATCTATCCCTTGACCTATAATACCATAAATTGAGACTAGAATGTTTTATGCAATTTCTGGAACATAGTCTTCGTTAAACCCCTGCGCTTGTGCTCTCTACATTCCCCCTTAAAATGATAGCATCGTTCATTCGTCTGTTTCCAAATTGAACTTCTGCACAACATCTTTTACGTGTACGTTCTTGTCAAGTTCAAATTTTTAATCTGTAGCTATTTTACAGACTTCAAATGCGTATAATGAATATTAACGTAAAAAAATTTTTTTGCGTGATGGCCGGCTTGTCTTTGCAGTGTGGACGTGGCCCGCCACCTAGCTTGTTCGTTGCACAGGAGTTGGGTCAAGCCTCAGGTGCAAAATCTTATGCTTGGTGGAATGCCTTGGAGACCCAAACATTCATTGTAGCCTGCGAGACCGCCATTGCCGAAGGCCATCGCAGCGGTCGGTGTTTTACGAAACAAGGTTGGGCCCGAATCTCCAAGCTGTTCAACTCAGCCACTGGGCACAATTGGACAAAGCAACAACTGCGCAACCATTGGGACGCCATGCGTCGAACCTACCGACGTCTCTTCGATCTATTAAAGGGTAGCGGGGTCGAGTACAACAAATCCACCGGTCGAGTCGTCGCATCAGAGGAATGGTGGAACCGAAAAATAAGGGTAACTATTTCAATTCGCGGCACACATTTTTCACAATATGTAACCAAACAATCCCGTTCAGTATTTTTCAGTACATTTGGAATGCCTTTTTTCGTATCTTCCCTCTTTTTTGTCCCTCTTTTCACAGGAGAATAAAGACTACAGGGAGTTCAAAGACAAGGATGTGAGCGAGATATATATTCACTATCGTACACTTTTTGGCGACAGCTACGATGGGGAGAAGTATGCGGTCACGCCGACTAAGTTGTGCCGAACGGGGTTCGGGTTGTTTGAGGACGGTGCGCTCGAAGGCACTCGGGATGCAATCCCCGTCGACGAGGAAAGTAGTGGTTCAAGTGACGAGGCTGAGCAAATGGTCAGTGGATCCCGCTTAAACGTATCCGACACCACAAGCGGTGGTAAAAGAAAGTCGTCCGGTGCGACGCGACGGGGTAAGAAGAAAAAAACATCTGCACGCGAGCTGTCGTTCTCCGTCGACCGAGCCACAAGTGCCGCGGAGGAAGTGGTGGCCAAGCTTAATACCATGATAGGCTCAAATGACAACACCGACACTGCCTGTATAGAGGAGCTACTGGCGGTTGGACGGCTCGAACGGCGTACACCTCTATACTTTTTCGCCTGTGCTATTCTGGCGAAAAAACATTACCGAAACATGCTCGCCGTTATGAAAGATTTGGATGAGAAATTTGAATGGATAGAGTGGCTATTCAATGAGCGGGGCAAGTAATTTCACATTTCACTGTACGCGTTACATTTACTTGTGTGTTGTCACAAAAAACTGTTTCCCTTTCGTACTCAACTGTCTGTATCCTTTTAAAAGTACTGTATGTAAATGCGCTGCGTGCCTGTGATGTGCAAACCGTTTTAGACTGTTCACCATGATTATTTCATCGTGTTAATATTTTACATGTGCAACATTTCAGGTCGAACTACTTGTAAAATGATATTTTCCACGATCTTGCCTTGCGAAATTACCATGTACGCACGCGAAAAGTTTGGACGTTAAAAAAATTGTTTACACTTAAAACTTGTGAAATTTGAAAAACTGTCACGAAAAGTTAGTGAGGAGAGATTGGATCAGAACAAAAAGATTTTCTAAAGAAAATCACGTTGCACGAGAAAATATTATTTGCAGGTGCACCATTATTGGCGCATTTCCCACAAGATGACAGCTATATGACACTGTTGCACAGAATCTCTTGAGTATTTTTTGGAAGTGCACAATTATTGATACAGTGCGTCCAACTTGACAGCTACAGTACACCATTGCACAGAATGTAGTCCCAGTCATTCCCACTTTCTATAAAAAGCCATGCACGCAGTAGAAACGAAAAAAATGTGTAGCTTGACGATGTGAGACGAACTTGCGGTCCACAGAAGTCCATATCTCGCTGCTGTTGTGTAATTTTGCCAATTGATCATGTGTTGCGTCACAACTGACGTCAACTTCAACTGCGTTCTGGGGTCCGACTCAGATGACGAATGCGATGACGACCAGGTTCTCTACAACTTGGCGATCGATGCCACCACTTGGCTTTCATACTGCAGAATCGCCGGCGATGACGCAAGAAAATATCACTACAGGCAACAGCGGCGTATACGACGTTTTCCTTTCTCAAGGAACGGTCACATGTTTATGATGGAGGCCATGGGCGAGAATAGTAAGATGTGCTTTCAAGAATTCCGTATGTATCCTTCAATGCTTCGACATTTCGCTCATGTGTTGCGCGATGAGCATGGGCTACGTATGAACCAGCATGTTGACATCTACGAGCAAGTTGGCATGTCCTTATGCATATTAGCGCACGGGAAGGGATATCGACAGGTGACAACAATTTTCAACCATTCATTGGAAACTGTATGTCACTACGTTAAAGAGGTTCTACATGCGGTCGTTGCGCTTTCAGCGCGCATGATTCGTCCCAGTGAGAACTACAACGACGGTGTCGAGCCACATAGGCCAGATCTGAGCAAGCATCCATTGTTTGAAGATTGCATCGGAGCTATTGACGGAACGCATGTAAAAGCTGTTTTACCGTGACATGATCGTGTAAACTTCATAGGGCGGAAAGGTGTGCCGACACAGAACGTGTTAGTTGCTCGTGACTTTAATTTATGCTTCACGTTCGTCCTTGCAGGATACTCTGGCAATACACATGATGCGTGCATGCTAGCACGTGCTATCCATGATCCGGAAATACATTTCCCATTACCGGCCCCAGGAAAGTACTATTTAGTTGACTCCGGGTTTGCTCATCGGCCTAGGTATATGGCCCCCTACAAAGGGTCTGACATACTTTACCATTTCCAGCAGTTTCGAGACGAGAGAACGGGACGTCGTCGTAGATTTCAAAATGCACGAGAGAAGTTTAACTTCAGGCACTCGTCCTGCAGAAATGTCATTGAACGTGCGTTCGGTGTGTGGAAAGAAAGGTGGAAGATCTTGGATCGCATGCCTAGCTACCCGTTCCGAACGCAAGTAGCCATTGTAGTTGCGACGATGGGAATACATAATTTCATGAGGCGTTCAGGAGTGGTTGACGCTGCGTTCACGAGAGCGGAGGTGGATGAAAATGTAGCTGAGGTGGAGCTTCCCAACGTAGAAGATGAAACACAGGCCGAAATACATGCACCGAAAATACAACGAAGTGAGTGGGACAGACTTCGAGATTATATGGCGCAGCAGCCATGATGCCAATACGTTTCTAAAATATTCAAAAGGATTGCATGTACGTCTTATGAAAATGTTTATTTTCTTGGGTGTAAAAAGTGAAATGCAGTAGGGGCCAATTATTGACCATCATTCAGGAAAGTATCATAGGTCAAAGTATTTCCCTTTTTTAACGTGCTTACGGTATGCTTTTCCTCGGTACAATGAACTATAAAATTTTTCTCCGCACCTACGCAGTTGTACAGTGTTTCGTACGAATAATTATTCACTTTGACGTCGTATTTTTCCTTCATTTCGAACACACCCTTCACTTTACTCGTCGCGTAACAAATGTTCACCGTGCGATTTCAATTTTTTGGTACGTAGCGCTTCGTAATAAAATTAAAATGCTTCTATTCGTAGACGCTCTCGAGAGCAGTTGATACAGTGAAATGTTTCAAAATTTAAGTTTTTTTATTTTCCGAAGTTACTTTTTTTGAAAACATAACCCGTTTCGTACAAAAACATTTTATTATTTACAACGAACATATACGCTGGAATTAGTGTACAATTGAATTTCAAGATGGTCTTTATCATTTTTCATTTTCGAAATTTATTTGGAAAAATTCAATAATTAACGTGAAGTGAAAATCACGGTCGGTTCGCGTAATGTTACAATTGTAGCCGGATTTCTGTGACAACCTTTTAAACCAATATAGGGGGCGACGACGGAGGGCCCAGTGCATGTACAATAATTGAAACACGTTTGGTGGGGATATAAAGTATTGGGAAATGTTTAGCAAATCAATTCATTTGACTTTTCAATATGTGGAAGCTGCCAAATTCCTGCATTTGTGACAAAGGATAAAGTTGGAAACTTAGGCTTTTTAAATTCAAATCCAATGATAAAATATTGGTGTAGGTCCGACATTGATTTGATGGAAAAAATGCATTTTTAGATAAAAATGGGGACCAAACATACACTAAAATTCTCTGACGGATTTTTCCTTGAAGAATGAGCTAATATATTTGTCATTTGGTCATTCCAGGTACAATTTTTAAAATTTTTGGTTGAAAAAAGTCGTAAAGTTAATCTAGCTAGTCATCGCTTTTTACAAACTGAATGACACGTCCCGTCCCGAATCACCCTAATGGATTAGGAACGTGACGTGCGCCGATGATAGATGCTGACTTAATGTCAGATCTACCATCAAGGCGGACTATGAATTATTACAAAATATGCGCCGAAATCAAATATTTATGAAAAATATAATGAAATGGGCCCAAAACGATTACTTCATGTTTTACCAAAATGAATCGTATCACTCAATATGTCATGTGGCTCTAATTCTAAAACCACCAGGCTCCTCAAGCTATCAGAGACCAATACTACTTGTAAGAGAAATCGTGGAAAAATATGAGTTTATAGTTCAGTGAGTGGAAGAGTTCGAAAATAATTATACTTTCTCATTTAAACATTTTTATCCAACATCAAGTTCATATTGTTTAGTAATTCACACGATAGTAGCAAAAAAAGAGACATTCTCATAACTATGTAAATATCATCTCATATCCACGATATAATCATCAGCTGATATCTATACCATCATCTAATCACATCACATGTGATCCACCAAAAATGTATTCTCTGACTAAAATCTATAATCCGTCCATCGGGCTAAGAACTTTCGCCACGGGCCTTTGGCCCCCTCCGCGAATGAAAGTCGGTCTCAAGATCTCTCATAATCAATTCTAGAATACGGCCAAGACTCCTCAGTGAACTATTTGTACACAGTCGAGACCCCTTGATCCCCAGTCCAAGATCCCTCCGTGCAGTATAGAACACGGCCAAGACCTCTCGGTGAACTAGAAGAAATATATAATCACGAGTACTTTTCTGGTCGATCTCAAAATCACATCTTATATTCCAATTCACAATGTATTGTATACAATCTTTGAAATTCCACATATATCATACTAAAAGATATTTCCATAATAATCATATAATTCGAACACATAATTGCATATATTGCACATACTTTAACAATATACTTAATTTATAAATATTTTAAAAATATTTATATTTTTCCACTCATTGATCTATAATTAGAAATCTGATTAAATTGACAAGTCTTTCCAAACTTTCACGTCCTTACCTGAAACAGAGGTATAATTTCTCAAATTTAAATATGACAATTAAATTAATACAAATCCACCTCTTAACTTCTCAATTTCTATATTTATTTTTACATCCCCATTTCCCCAACTTTTCTTCTCTTTAATGATTTATCAACTAATCACCATAAACCATCAAATTTATTACACCACTCACACTTCCTTAAAATCACTACCTTAATACATATAAAACCCCTATAAATAGTTAGTTCAACACATAGACTTCAATATTTGTCATATAAGTTCATTCAAACCTTTAAAAATTTGGAAATCCAAGGTTTGACAAAAATGGCACTAAAATTCCGGAATATAGAAATCTGGCACCAATTTCTGCATATTGAAATCTGCCACCAAAATCATTGACAGAAATGATACTTTCTCACCAGAATTTCAAAAATAGCACTATGCATTAATTTTGCCCGAAAATTAGTTTAAAAAAATACCAAAATCCAACCTCAACTCCATGTCTCATTGTAATACCTAGGGCTGGGCAAATCTCCCGAACCGAACCGACCGAACCGAACCCGAACCGAACCGATCCGAACCCGACGGTTCTTGTCAAATTAAATACCCGAACGGGTATCTGAATTGAGAACCGACGGGTACGGTCCGGTTCTCGGTTCTAGACCAAGAACCGAAGAACCGAATAAGAACCGAATCTTTCTAATTTTTTTTTTATATTGAGTAAATCAAATTATTTTAATTTTAATTTTTTCTAAACAAATTAACAAATTAATGATTTCTAAATCCAAATTTTTGGCCCAATAATTTGTTTCATTTCTTATTTTTTTATTTTTGGCCCAATTACCCATTTTATTGTTTCATTTCTTAGCCAAACAAGATCAAATCCACTAAATAACCCTAAACACCTACAATAAAGTGCATAACGTTGTCTTGACTCTTGCACTCACTCTCGCAGCCTATCTAATATTCCAAAATCTATACAATCGTCGGCCCACACTCTGACCTCCGATCGAAGCCGTGACTTTCCCCGACTGAAGCTTTGATCGTAGCGATCATTTGAACAAGGTAGTTTACTAATCTCTGACATTCCAAAACTATTGAATGTATCATTAGTCGTATTTATATAACGTTGTTATAAATGTTAAAAAATTTAATTATAGTACAGAACCGAACGGAACCGAACCGATCCGAACCGAACCGAATGGAACCGAACCCGAACGGTTCCATAATTATATTTGGACCCGACGGTTCCATTTACTAGATACCCGAAAAGTTTGGTTCGGTTCGGTTCTAAAGAGAACCGAACCGAACCGACCCGTGCCCACCCCTAGTAATACCTCATAAATCAATTGTTTTATATCATATACACTATAAATATAAAGATTTAGACTTTAATTTACAAACCCATTTCATATTACTTTAACATATATTCAACTCCAATATCTATTCTTTCCTCCACATCTTTGAAGCTAACCACTAATTACAAACCCAAATCTAACAATATTGAATAACAATGAGTTTTTCTTACCTCTTGGAATAGAATAGAAGAAAGGATGAACCTTGTATTTGAATCCATATATCATCTTCTTCAATAATATCTTTTTCATTTTCTTTTTCCACCCCTTTTTTTGTCTTCCCCCTTTTCTTTCTCTCTCTTCTTTCCTTCTCTACCTCCTTCTCAATTCTTCTCTCCTTCTCTCAGCTTCTCTACCCATTTTTCATTTTTGTATCTATCTCCAAATGAAAAAAAAAAGGCTATTTATTTAATATTTAGTGGCACTAACTCATAATTGCAAAACAAGTCCTCCAACCTTCATATAAAATCACATTAAATCCTTATCTTTCAATACTATATAAGTATATCCTCAAATTAAATTTTATCCATCTTAAATCCTCAAAATATTTTTCATAATCAATTAAGCCCCAATAGAATAATTTATTCAACTTAAGTTCTTATTGACTTTGACTTTGACTTTGACTTTAACTTTGACTACTTAAATCCTCAAAATATTTTTCATAATCAATTAAGCCCCAATAGAATAATTTATTCAACTTAAGTTCTTATTGACTTTGACTTTGACTTTGACTTTAACTTTGACTATAAAGGAGTGGGATGTAACACTGAACTACGAAAAATCCCTATAATTCTTAAAAAGAAAACTTGGTTGCATCAAGTACGTCCACTATTTTAAATTGCTTAAATTATTTCATAAATTGTATTTATTTCGTGAAAATGTTGAATTTTTAGTCAAATTGGATATTTAAACCTCGTTTAACTATAAGATTTAAGGTAATTTAGTGTCCATCTGCCCTTGGTCATTTTGAGAACTGTGGCAGTTAATCAAAAGGTTCACATAAATTCTTAAGTGGCATGATCGGATGATTTTGACTTGGTATTGTCCAATTTGAATAATTTTGAGTGTTTCACTTACAATAGGATTGTTTAAAGTCTCATGTTGGTTAGAAACTGTTGACACACTGAAAGTGCAGCCCAAATCAAATAGCCCAAAGAGTGAAGTCCAATTGGGGAGTCCAGAATAAAGGTCCAAACAGGATTATTGAGGAATGCGATGGAAGCTCACGAACACGGTAATATCATCGCCCAAACTTGCAAGACGCCCAGAATCTGAGCGAATGGAGTACCTTACAGTCGCCCAGAGTGATGACCTCGTTCTCGTCCAAACCTTCGAATCGCCCAGGATCTTAGCAAGCATAAAACATTATAGCTATCCAGAATAGCAGTTGTTGAAATAGTTATTGAGTGATCTTATCACAGTTCACGAATCAAGGAGCCCAGTTGAAGGCGGTTGAACGACAAAGAGTAATGTCAACAGTTAGAGACGGCAGTTCCACGATAGATTAGCCACCATAAAGAAAGTGGGTAATTATACAGCAATCAAGCAGTTTCCAAGCGGTTTGCCACGAAAAATATAATCGAGGGAATATAAAAGGAAGAGAAGACATAGAGAAAAGGAACCCGAATCAAATACTCTCAAACAGAGAATATGTCATTTCGATTTCTAAGTTTAAACTTAAACATTTCTTTTAGTACTCATGTGCTTGCGCCTCTTGGAGGCATTCTGTTTATTTCCAATCATAAATCATCGTCAATAAAACACCCCTTTTTGAGATTTCGTTTCAAGAGGTTTGTTCCTTACACAATCGTCTGATCCCTTTTTTAATTGTTAGCGACTACTCGCGCGAAATAATTTGGCACGCCCAGTGGGACCTTGGTGTTTGGTATTGAAGATACAAAAGGTGAAACAATATACCTCACAAATCTGATAAGGAAGCAGCAAGTCAGGGAGGAGTCCAGTCTGTGATCGAGCGATATGAGAAGCGACAAAGCTCTCTACGAACAGAGGGACAGAGTCAGAGTAGTTACAGTCGTTACGAACCAATGACAGAGTTGAGTTCTCGAACCATGCGTGCATTGCTTGAAGAACTCACACAGGATGTCATTGAACGGGTAAATCTACGAAATGTTCATAATATGGAAAGATTTACCCAAAATGGGAATGCACATTATGACAACATGGCCAAACAACTGAATACATTAAATGAAATAATGAATAAGTTAGTAGGCCAAATTTGTCAGCCAGTTGTGCCTATTGCAAATCACTTTCAAACTAGGACAATCGTGGGACATAATTCCCCAGTCCTAAGTCCAAATCAGGGGATAGAACCACATTTTGGTCCACCTACTTCAAACAGGGGGATGGTGTAATGCCAAATCAGAATAGTGATGGAATAAATATTCAGGCTAATGGTAACAATGACCCAAATCATGGCAACTTTGTTGTCAACCAAGGACCAAACATCAGGCCTCAGGCAAATCAATCGACCAACCAACCTATAGGAATTCCATATGACCTCAACGTCATGTTGAGAAATCAAATTATGCAAATAGTACAGGATCAAATGGTTTTTGGGGCACGTTCTGTCATTAGGCCGACGTACACAAAGCCATACCCTGATTGGGTGGACCAAGCATATCCATGGCCTAGAGGGTATAAAGTGTCAGAATTCTCACTATTTATCGATTTAGGAGAGGTGTCTACTCTAGAACACATAAGGCGATTCACACTGCAAAGTGGTGAAGTAATCGACTACCATAAAATGAGGTTGTTCCCTAGTTCATTAACAAGAGTAGCTTTCTCTTGGTTCATCAATTTGCCAGCAAACTCTGTTCAAACATGACAACAATTGGAGCAATTGTTCCATGCTCAGCTTTATAAGACTGAGTCTGAAGTTACTTTGGCCGATTTGACGAATCTACGTCAAGTGTCAAACGAATGGGCAAAAGGTTTCCTTCAAAGGTTTCAGACAGCAAGAAGTAAATATTTTGTACCTTTGCCCGAAAATGAGTTTGTCAAAATCGCTCAAAGTTGTCTGAACTTTGATTTGAAAAAGAAATTTCAAGACAGAGAATTTTCTGATCTTTTCCAATTGAACGCAAACGTGATTAAGTATGAACGATTAATAAGAGAAGAAGAGCAAATGAAAAATTCTAGCAAGGGAACTTATTATAGAGACCCAAATTTTGGTGTTCATACCATTAATGACGAGTATTACGATCAAACCGAAATGTGTTTGGGCGAATTTATCAAAGGAGACGCATATACTTGTCCTGTAATGGCTAAGCCTAGATCGTCGGGCAAGGATAAGCCTATAAAAGATGAAAGCAAAAAGGCTAGAACGTTCTCGTTCGATGTAACCAAAGCTGACCTTATATTTGATAAACTATATAAGGATAACCAGATAAAGTTGAGCGATAAACATAACTTGCCAAGCCCTGAACAAATCAAGGGTAAAAAATATTGTAAGTGGCATAATGCATGGTCACATTTGACTAACAACTGTTTCGTTTTTCGCCATGTGTTATAGGATGCCATTGAATCAGGACGAATTATGTTCGAGGATAAGAAGAAGATGACAGTGGATGAAAACCATTTTCCACAACCACTTGGGGGTGAACATGATGACGACTGGTTTAAAAAACAAGTTGCTAAAATTCAAGTAGGTTATAGATAACGGAGAAGAGGACCCTGGGCCACACCCCAATGTCTTTGAACGTATCAAAGGGGAGGAGCCTAAAAAGGATGAAGAAGTCCTGTGTGCAAGATGTTAAAAAGAAATGAGTGCAAATAAAGAGAAACCAGGGATGTGGCAGCATCACCATCGCCCTAGTTTTTTCTCAAACGCTCAGCCTGGTAGAGGGCGAGGTATATCATTCTATAGAGGACCGCCTTTTAAGAGGTAGTTCAGGTCAATAAATAATGGAAGAACATTCAGGTCGCAACCTCGCCAACCAAATGTATGGCATTCGTTTCAATATAATGCAGGAAGGGTGATACCCTTCAACGAGATGACTAGAACCCAACAAAGGCATTTTCAACGGAATTATGGACGGATGATGAGGCAACAATAGGGAGTGCCACGTCCTAAGGCGCCTAAACTACTCGAGGTGGCCAATCAAAATGTTCTCGAAGACAGTGAGGGGACTGGTACAGGTGAATCGATGGAAGAATTGCCAGAGAGTTCTTCTGGCAGATCAAAGTTTGAGCGAAGTAGAAGGGATGGAGAAGATCCAGATCAATCCCTTGCTATTCAGTTCGGTACGTTACCTCTTGTCATGGCTAATAACTATTTACTAGCCAATGAGTTCAAGAACAAAGAAAAAGAAGAAGAAGAGAGGGAGGATAACGAGGAAGAAGCATGTGTGCTAAAATGTGAAGAATGCCAAACTTCTAGAGGAGCCTACAATGGTGAAGAGGATGATGGTATGACGGACATCGAAGAGGAAATTGATCTGGAAGCAGAAAGAAGAAAGAGAGGAGTATCGCACAATACCCTGTTGAAGCAACTACATCGAGAGGGAGTTCGTGAAGTGGACTGGTTGGGGGAACCATCTGGGCGTTCTTTTGATTATTACGTGTTGTACGAGACGCCCAAGAGGAAAAAAAGAGTACCTCGCTTTGAAAAGTATGGATCGCCTCTAAGAATAATGGCTCCTCCCACAGGTTGGGTAACCGAAAAAAAAGCATTAGGAAACAATAAAAAGGAAATTCAGGAAGCGGAAGCTCAGTGCAACATACTACACGTTGACTTATCACAAAAGGATAATTCAACATAGAACAAGCAGGAAGTGGAAATAGATGTTGCCGAAAAGGTTATTTTTAAGAGATCAGCCATAAAGTTAACTAAACACTTGAGACCATTGTACATTAAGACTTTAGTTAACGGTATACCTGTGGTAAAAGTACTTATCGATAATGGAGCAGCTATAAACACCATTCCATCTAGAATGATGAGGAAATTTGCAAAGACAGAAAGTGATGTGATTCCAACAGAAGTCATCCTTACAAGTTTCAATGGAGGAGCAACTTCAGCCAAAGGGGTTATGCCATTGGACATAACTGTAGGGACAACTACTAGGACCACAGTCTTCTTCGTAATAGATGGTTCAATGAGTTACAATGTGTTATTAGGAAGGGATTGGATACACGGAAGTCGCTGCATACCTTCATCGCTCCATCAATGCCTGGTTTTCTGGAATGACAAGGTTGAAGCAGAAGTGGTGCAGGCAAATTATAGACCTTTTGTCGCAGAAGCAAACTCAGTGGAAAGGTTCATATACGAAGGAAATTACGGACCTGTTAGAGTGGTCCAAGATGGAGAAGAAACTCAAATTGTTGCACAGAGCAAAGAGCCGTTTTCAGTAGATGCACTCACTGAAATGTTCAGTTAAATGAGGCCAAACATAGTGGCCCTGGAAGAGCCAGTAATTGGCAAAAAAGTAATCAAGGAGTTTTAAATGAGTTGTAAACAACAAAGGCAAATGGCCGATGTTCAGGCCTTCAAAGCCAAATTAATGGCTTTCAATATAGAATATAAAGACAAGACGAAAAAAGAAGCAGCCTTGAAAGCATTAGAAGGCAAATTGACAGTGTTCGAGTTGGAACAAAGTATTGGCCGAGAAGTCAACAAGGTGGATTGTTTAGAAGAAGAAGTGCCTATAAGGAAAATGGACGATGAAGTAATGAGGATTACCAAGCCTGGATACGCTCAAACACAAGACCCTCTGATTAAAGTGAATATTGGCAATGAAGGGAAAGATCGCCCAATATTCGTCAGCTAGATGCTCGATCAAGAGGTTAGTAATAAATTAATCGCTTTATTAAAGGAATATAAGGATTGTTTTCCTTGGGAATATGAACATATGCCTGGTTTAGATAGAGATTTGGTGGAACATAGATTGCCAATCAAGCCAAATTTTAAACCTCATAAACAACATCCTAAACGTTTTGCTCCTAATGTACTTCCTGAGATTAAGAAAGAAACAGAGCGATTATTAAAAGCAGACTTTATTAGAACAGCCAGATATATAGAGTGGTTGTCCAATATCGTGCCAGTGCTAAAAAAGAATGGTAAATTAAGGGTGTGCATAGATTTTAGGAACTTAAACATAGCCACACCCAAAAATGAATATCCAATGCCTACAGTAGATTCTTTAGTAGATTCGACTACCGGACACATAATAAATTCCTTCATGGATGGGTATTCAGGATACAATCAAATTTATATAGTTGAGGAAGATATACACAAAACTGCCTTTAAGTGCCCTGGATCTCTAGGATGTTTTGAATGGGTAGTTATGCCTTTTGGCCTGAAAAATGCAGGAGCGACTTATCAAAGGGCAATGAACTTGATTTTTCATGATATGATAGGCAAGTTTGTTGAGGTGTATGTAGATTATATAGTGGTCAAATTCATTAAAGAAGAGGATCATTTTGAACAATTGAGATGTTCATTTGAGCGAATGAAGCAATATAAACTAAAATTGAATCCCTTGAAATGTGCATTTAGCGTTAATGCAGGAAACTTCCTTGATTTCTTAGTACATAAAAGGGGGATTGAACTTGATAAAAATAAAGCTTAGGCCATTTTAGAGGCCAAACCACCTAGCAATAAAAAAGAATTGCAAATGTTGCTAAGCCAAGTAAATTTTTTAAGATGCTTTATTTCTAACTGTGCAGGGCGAACTAAAATTTTTTCGCCACTTTTAAAGCTGAAAAATCAGGACGAATTCGTCTGAAAAGCCTAAAGACATATTTATCAAGTCCACCAGTATTGGAGTTATCAATCCAAAGACGGCCAATGAAAGTGTATATATCGGCTGAACAAGAATCAATAGCTGGAATGGTCGCGCAAGAAGACCAATTTGGTGAAGAGAGAGCGATTAACTACTTGAGTAGACGGTTAACAAAATGTGAATGTAATTACTCTACCATTGAAAAATTATATCTTGCATTGTATTTCACGTGTACGAAATTAAGGGCTTATTTACGGTCCGTAACCGTTTATTTGATTTGTAGAGTAAATTTGGTTAAGTATATGTTCTCTCGCCCTATTTTACATCAGAGGGTAGGCTTTTGGACGTTAGCATTATCAGAATTCGAAATACAATACATACCCCAAAAGGCAATAAAAAATCAGGCTTTGGCTAACTTTCTAGCCGATCATCCATGCCTTGACATGTCTGAGGAAATTGAATTAGAAATCAATTCATTCGAATTAAAACCTTGGGTTTCATATTCGATGGGTCGAAAACCTCTAAAGGTGCAGGAGTAGTAGTAGCATTGATAAATTCTGTAGGGATTTGTTACAAGTTCGCATTCACTTTGGATAGGATGTGCACCAACAATCAAGCCGAATATGAAGCCTTAATCGTGGGTTTAAAATTAATGATAGATATGGAGGTAAAGAATGTGATCATTAGAGGCGATTCTCAATTGGTAATTCACCAATTGATCGGTGATTTTAAATGTCAAAGTGATTCCATTATAAGTCAATATGAAATCGCTCAGGAATTGTTGGGAGAATTCGACCAAGTAGAGCTTTAATGTGTTAATAGGATATATAATGACATAGCAAATGAGTTGGCCTAGATGGCCTCAGGGTATTCAAAGGCTTTAAATTGAAAATCTACTTATGAATATGGAATAATATTGCCCGTAGTCCAAAGAAGGGCGAGAATGATTGAAATTCATTACATACAAGATGGAGATGCAATAGATTGAAGGGCAGAGATTAAAAAGTTCCTTAAAGAACCTAATAAAGGAGGTAATAGAAAGATGAAGTTGCGTTTGCTAAACTATATATTGATAGATGAAGAGTTGTTTAAGAAACGCTCTGATGGTATATTACTAAAATGTGTAAGTTTGCAAGAAGTTAGAACAATCATGGCTGAAGTGCATGAAGGGATATGTGGAGCTCATCAAGCTGGCCAAAAGATGAGATGATTAATTATTAGGAATGGATATTTTTTGCCCAAGATGGGAGAATCATGTGTTCAACACGCGAAGAGTTGTCTAGCATACCAAAAGCATGGTCCAATACAAAAGGCGCCAGCGAGAGAGATGGCACCCATTATCAAATTCTGGCCGTTCAAGGGTTGGGCGATAGACCTGATAGGGAATATTTATCCTCCATCGTTCAAGCAACATACTTTTGTTATAGTTGCAACTGATTTTTTCACTAAATGGGTAAAAACGATACCTTTAAAGGAGATCACCCAAAAGTGTATCATAAAATTTATCCGTGATCATATTATTTATGAATTTGACATTTCACAAACTTTGATAGTAGATCACGGAACTTCTTTAAATGGAGATCAAGTGAATAAATTCTTGAGCGAGTTTGGAGTTAAATTAGTGAACTCCACACCATATTACGCTCAATCTAACGGACAGGCAGAATCTTCTAATAAGATTCTAAAAAATATTATAAGGAAAATGATAGATGAAAATGTCAGAAATTGGCACGAATATCTAAAGAAAGCCTTATGGGCTTGTAGGACGTCGCCTCGGTCAAGTACCAAAGTTACTCATTTCCAACTTACTTATGGATATGAGGCCGTTTTGCCTTTGAAAATCAATGTGCGATCAATTAGAGTGTGTTTGCAACATAAGTTAAGTGATGGTGAGTATACCGAATCACTAGTTCAAAACTTATTGAAATTGGACGAATTAAAGTTGGACGTCGTAGATAGATTGCAAGTTCAAAAATGAATGATGGGTAAGTTTTACAATAAAAAAGTTATAGTCAAGTCATTTAGCCTGGACGAATTGGTTTGAAAAACAATACTCCCTTTGGATAGTGAGGATCCAAAATATGGCAAGTAATCGCCCAATTGGGAAGGTCCATATAAAGTAAATAGTGTGTTGCCTAATGGAGCTTACCATTTAGAAGATTTAGATGGCACCAAGCACATGAGATTCATTAATGGCAAATATTTAAAAAAGTATGTTCATTCCTTATGAGAGAATAAACAAATAAAAGTGTAATCAAATTGCGTTGAACGATCCTAGATAAATAGGGCCAGAACGAAATACGTTCAAATAAATTCCTTTATTATCAAATAGACATTACAAATTGTGAGATACAAAATACTAAATGCTCTATAAGCTACAATTGAGAGAAAACTAATTTCTTGATCGATTGCTAAGCAAGAGGGTGAACTGGCCTTGGTCGCCGTCCTGATCGTACTGCTGCAAGGGCAGGCAGAGAGGCCAAGAAGCACTCTCAACAAGCAAAAGGGAAGAAAAGCACCCTAAATCGCCTGCATAATCGCATTGCTGCAATAATGGGCAAGGAGATTGAGAAGCACTCTCAGCAAGCAAAGTGACTTGAAAAGCATCATAAAAAATTGCCTTCCATCATTGAACTCCTTATAAAGAACATGGAGACAATGGGAAGAACTTTGCTGGCCAAAGAATATTTCCTATATCTCCCATACCAATGATGACATCAAAACAGATAGCAAAATGGGCGGATCAAATGATCCATTTCTATGGAAGACGAAAATTTTGGATCAATTATTGAGATGCCAAACGATAGCAGCAAATTAGTTTTTGAAGAAAAGAATGGAAATGAAAATGATGAGTGAGAAATACATACACATTTATAGAGGCGTGAAGGTGAAAAGACAGAATGTGAATGGCCACATTCGTGCCTAATAACTGAAATCAAATGGCCCAAAGTCTTGTAAAAAGAGACGAAAATACTAAGGAAGAACGTACATGAATCTTAGCATAAAGCAATTAAATGCTTGGGAGGTTGACGATTAAGGACAACGTCAATTAATACGCAAGTAGACAAATTAGTTGTTCATTAATGACGATAACTGCTGTTACAAAAGGAAAGTTAGTACGAAGTTACAAAAGGAAAGTTAAGGCATTAGATGTCTTAATTACAATTCACCCCAGGCCGAACGAATTATTTCCCTAAGTCTCCCCCAATCTTCGCTCTGCTGAGAAGAAGCGACATTTAATTCAGCTACAAAATCGTCATCAACTTCCAGCTTTTTGTACTGCTTAACCAAAGACTTAGTTCGTTCAATTCCTTGGGAAGCATTACACTTTTTAGCAGCCATTCTCGCCCTACAGTCGTCCATTTTTGCTTGAAGCTCCTTCATCTCTACAGCCAAACTTGTCATCAAAGAGTCTTCGATCATAACATCAGAAGAGATTTCTTTTAATTCATCATCGGCTTTGTTAATCTCTAGAAGCAAAGACTCTCTTTCAGATGCAGCATGAAAATATTGTGTACTCCTGGCCTTCTGTTCAACATTTTTGACTAGCAAAGAGAGGATGTCAAAGTGAACAACCTTCAACGTCGCTTTTAAGTCAGCATAAACATTGAGCGACGGAAGTGTAAGTGCTTGCGCCAATTTCGCACTCAACAGCTCAAGCTTATCCTTATATTTGGTAGCACTAGCCTGGTCGATATCCATGTCTATGAAAGACACGTACTCAAATATCGACTGCTTGAGAAACTTCATATTTTCCTCTGAAGAAGCAGAAGGATGACTGGTTGAAGTAGGGCGAGACGTCTTGACTTGCCCCCAGGAAGTAAACAAGTCCTGGATGGAACGCACAATGTCATCAGCATCCTACAAAGAAAAATGCCAACATTGAGGACTTTCACTACAATAAACGAAGCGAAAATGAAAGTGAAGCAAAAGGTTACCTCATTAGCAATCTTAGGAAGTTCAGGCATATTACCAGTTGGCTCCACCACCTGCAGGGATTTCTTCTTATCTGGGCGAGAAGACTCTGCCACAACGGGCAGGCCCATGGGAGCCTCTGCATAATTCAAGAAGCAACGAATCAGAAACCAGTAGCATAAGAAAAGGTAAAACATCAAAATATGTATTACCTTCTAGTTCGACGTTTGGTAGGGCCGACGCCCTGGGAAGAAGGTGACCTTTCTACTGGTTGTGATGAAGGTTCCGGGACTAAGGGTTTCTCTTTAAGCATAATCCTTTCATCAGCTGATTTGGACGAAATAGCTTCAGCAGAAGATGATAGAGTAGGGGCTGCCAAAACCAAAGCCTTCGAAGGAGAGGCTGAACTTTTATGAGGAATTCAGGTAAATCATTAGTACATAGAAAAGTATGTTTGTGAATAAACAAATTCAATTACCTTTCTCCTAAGGATGAGAATATCATCATCATCTTCATCATTATCATCCTGCAAAATGGGAGATGTTGAAGCTGACCGTTTGCGGCTTAAAGCACCTTTAGCTGCAGTAGCCTTGGCAGGTAGAGAAGCAGATGGATGGATAGAATGTTTAGTGCGAGCAGGGGAGGAAGGATTCCTAATGAACATAGGGGTGACCAAAATAGAAGAAGTAGAGGGAGTGTCTGGCTGATCCAGTAAATGGAAGGCACGATTAGCATCAGTTGCAAACAATTGACGTTTTACTGATGGCCAAAGCTGTTCAAAAAGAGGATGGACAGCACAGCTAGAATTGAAAGGAGCTAATGAAAATTTGCCCGTCAAAAGAATGTTGCGAGTATCTATAGCTTGTGCCTCTGCCTTATTAATAGTGTGAAAGTGGTCTGTCAAATTTTTGGAGTAACAAGGAGAAACAGGCCAAGTTTGGCCAAAACCAAGTTGTCGAGCAAAAAATTGGGGAGCATATATTTCAACCCCAGCTTTGGCATTGGTTCCAGTTAAGATATCGTGGAACAATTCCCTCCCAATCAAAAACTGAACCCAAACAAGCAGAGAGGCACTCGCACTATCTAGGATGGATGGAGGTTGCACATAATCTGGAGTCAAGTGAGCAGGAAAAGGAAAGAAAGAAGGAATCGAATTTAAGGTATAAAAGAATGAAAAAATGTCCCTACTGGACATATTTACAGGGGTCAATGGATCAATGGCTAGCCCATAGCAGCTAGCAGAACGAAGGGAAATGGATGGAGCGCCAAGTGGTGGAAAATATGCTCTCAACCACAGTTGAGTGAACCAAAGGGGGCCACTGCCAGTGGGAGATGCACCATTCTTTAGTTGAAACTGAAAGGAAGCCATGCCTTTATAAAGGGCGGCTAAAAAGAAGGAACATAAGTTCAAAGGCCTACCACGCGCCAATTCATACGCTATGGGTAAGTAGCTCATAGAAGGTTTCATACTTGGCATGCAAAGAATATATTTACAGAGCCAAATCTGAAGAAAGGCCACACGCTCAGCATGGGAAGGTTCAGCGCTTGAGTGATTATAAAAGTCTTGCAGGCTTGAATAAGACTCAGTAAGTTTCTTATCAAATTTCGGGGTAACACTGGAAATCAAGATACCAGGAAAGATGGTATCGTCCAAAGGCAGAAGATTTACTATGGCTCCGACATCCCTTAAAGTAATAGACATGAGACCAAGAAGAAAAATGAAGGTGTTATACTCAGAAGACCAAAAACTCAAAGCAATAGGAAAAAGCACTGGGTCAAAAATCGGGGGTTGAAGAGTAATTTCTAATAACTCTGAAATCCTAGCACGATCAAAAATCACCTTGGTGGGGCCATGATTCACAAGACGTGCATGCCATCTACGAAAAATAACATCAGCTTTGGGCCAAGTGAGAATGCCTTTTTCGTGAATCGGCCTCAATGGCAGAGAGTTCAGGAACAGAGGACCTTGAGTGCAAGGGAACAGCTGACCCACCGCCACTTGTCTAACGGCTTCGGCATTATTAAACGATGGACCCAAATAGAATTCATTGAGGTCAGCATTAACTTGTGCAAGGAAGTTTGGATTTACATATGGCCTAGTAAGGATTTTTTGGAAATCTTCGAAACTAAAAGAATCATCAGATTGAGTTTGTGAAGTCGGCATTGGAAACAAAGTACAGTTTTCATAAGGTTTGCCTAAGAAATGTAGCAGATAAGCAAGAAGATGAATAGTAAAATAGCGAGGAGGAGGCACGAAATATAGAGACGTGGTTTAATAGTGCGATGAAATGGCGTGTCTTTTGGGTTTATAAGGGTTTGTAACGTTGCACATTTTTAGGCTGTAGAATGAAATAATAATTGAAATTTTTGGGAATTTCAAATATTGTTGGAAAAAAAAAACAAGTGAATATGCTAAAGATTAATAATTTGTATTAATTCTGCCATATTGGGGGGTAATTGTTGACACACTAAAAGTGCAACCCAAAGAGTGAAACCCAATTGGGGAGTCCTGGATAAATGTCCAAACAGGATTATTGAGGAATGCAATGGAAGCCCACGAACACGGTAACATCATCGCCCAAACTTGCAAGACACCCAGAATTTGAGCGAATGGAGTACCTTACGGTCGCCCAGAGCGATGACCCCGTTCTCGCCCAAACCTTCGAATCGCCCAGGATCTTAGCAAGCATAAAACATTATGGTTATCCAGAATAGCAGTTGTTGAAGCAGTTATTGAGTGATCTTATCATATTCCACGATTCAAGGAGCCCAATTGAAGGCGGTTGAACGACAAAGAGTAATGACAACAGTTAGAGACGACGGTTCCACGACAAGTTAGCCACCATAAAGAAAGTGGGTAGTTATACAGCAATCAAGCAGTTTTCTAGCGGTTTGCTACGAAGAAATAATCAAGGGAATATAAAAGGAAGAGAAGACATAGAGAAAAGGAATCCGAATCAAATACTCTCAAACAGAGAATATGTAATTTCGATTTTTAAGTTTAAACTTAAACAATTCTTTTAGTATTCGTGTGCTTACGCCCCTTGGAGGCATTCTGTTTATTTCCAATCGTAAATCATCGCCAATAAAACGCCCCTTTTTGAGACTTTGTCTCAAGAGGTTTGTTCTTTACCCAATCGTCTGATCCATTTTTTAATTGTTAGCGACTACCCGCGCGAAACAGAAACTAATATCTCCTCCTTTTGTGTCGACTTTTTATTGATTTTTTTTATCACATGTTTGGGATAGTTATTAACGATCTTGATGTAAGACTAAAAATCCTTTATTACACTGTAATATTATTTTGAGCTGTGCTTGGGATTTAGGACACATGAAAGATTCTATACAATTGTAAAAACTTTAATTAATGTGCCGTGGCCATTCTCCAATTTTTTAAGTCTTCCACATTTTTTCCATATAAAGACTTTCCGATTTTCTCGATCATTCTCTAAACAAGGATATTGTGGGCAAGAATCAAGGAATCGATCTAAACTTTCAACATACATCATATATAAACTGTCACCTAACATTTTTTGACCTCCTATGAGACAGAGTCAAAATCTCGTTCTTTTTATCATTGAAACACTTGCTAGAGAAAGTTGATTTTACTGGTTTTGGATGAAACAGAGTTTTCGCATTATCCATTTAGTTATTCATCAAGTTTCATCTTAAGATCTACGAGGTAGATACATCATACATCCGTGCAAATAGTTTTTGTTCTTGTTCCTTCGTGATAATTAGCATAGCGTTAGATTGTGACCTTTGAAGTTAGGCGAGAATTCGTAAGAACCAACGATACACAAAATGCATATATTTATGTGCCAAAATCGAGTGTGAAACTAAATCTAACATAGTATCATAGTAGGCAAAGATAAATATAATCGCCATCTTATTTCGACTAAAGCATTTACGTGCACGAACAAGGTGTGACGAAGGACCTTAGCATTCAGCAGGAGGGTTGAGATTGCACTTGACAGGGAGTCCCAATGCAAGATCAGGATCAATCCCGAGAGAAGGCAAAACAATTGAGTTCCTATAAGAACATAAGCATTTCAAGTCTGCATTTGAGAGAGCATCACAACATTCCGACGACGGCTCCACCGGGTTCGGCTGTGTAACTGACGGCCGGCATGCTTCTAAACCCTCCTCCGTCATATTACAAAAGCTCACTGCCTTTGCTCCACCAAGAACCACCAGTATCACCACCACCGCCACCAATTTTCTACCACTCTCCATATTCTTGATTGCTCGAGGCTCTATTGTTACAATGATTCTTTGGTGCTTTTAAAGGTAGTAAATTTGTAAGCCCGTGATTGGGAATTTGGCGGGTTATGGGTCACGGGTGATGCTAGGCCATGTTTGGGCAATTGGGTTTACTTTAGGGTAATGATTTGTGGCCTAGAACTGCCTTACGTCAACAATGGGTTTAGATCTTGTCTTCTTATGTTGAAGTCTCCACGTGAAGATGATCCACCTTCCATTTTTACTACATTACAATTGCATGAGATTATGTAGGGAATACATTTGAGATTTTTCTAACGTCGAGTAGTTACGCGAAGTATGACAATGCCACACGAAAACTAGTATTATTCTTTTCTATTTTAGATACTAGTTTATTGACATTTTCGTATTAACATTTCGTATCGTAATTTCATTTGATGGAGGTTAGACGAGATTGTTTAAGTATTTGGCATTTAATGAAAAATAGAATTTACATGTACATAATAGAGCTGAATATAAAGTTTAAACAAATAAATTTTTTAACATTTGCATAAGTGAGGTCAAAGTAAATGGGACTTGTGCCCACAAATTAACTATTAGGATGAATCATGTTGCTCTTATATTAAGATGTATGAATCAAATTTTATTTTAACATCGTATCAGAATAGGCAATGATTTTAAGTTTAACTTTAAGTTATCAAATATGATTAAATTAAATCTTTTTTTTTTTACTAATTAAGTTAAGATCCATTGTCTATATACAAATAAAAGAGGGAAACTTGTAAATTTAAATTTAAGGAATTTACACCATAAATATCTACTTCAATAATTGGGCTTTTAGAAGGACGCAATGATGTCTCGTCCCAACCCAAATAATGATTTGGGTTCAAAATCCATCAGTGAAATCCCATTAAAATAGATGAACCTGGACTATATCTGGAAACCATAGAGATCGAATCGAACTAATACTAATGCAGAGCAATTAAGGCTCTCTTTGTCAAACATTAAGTGAGAATTTCTATTTTTGCATCTGTTCTTGTAAAAGAGATTCATGAAAAATAAGTTAGGTCAATCTTCTTTAAAACTCTTATAATCAGATAAAATACTTTCAAAAAAATTATTCAAACAAGTTTGAGCATTTTTTTTAGTCTTAAAAGCAATTTTCGACTTTTTGAAAAAGTCTCGCCAAATAGGCTCTAAAAATTATTACTAAGAAGTTACTTTTTTATTTAATCAAAGTCAAACATTAGTTTTAATAAATCATTCACAACCGAGGATTTTAGATTAGCCAAAACATATTGTGTAACGTTTTAGATGCAGGCACGTCCGTTTTGGGAATGGTATGCATTGTACATACAAAAAATTAAGTACACGGTTAAGATGTGATACATTTATTTACTCATGCTGTAGATATAAAAAGTTTTGAACCCAAACATGTTACACACGGACATTCACACATTAAATGCAAGCACCTCGGTTTGAAGATGTTACACGATATAAATAAAAAAAAAATTTAAGAATGATTTAATATGTCTAATAAAATGAGAAATAGATGAACAAGTCACGAGTTGACAAATTTTGCAGGTTGCATTCGTACCATAAAAAGAGAGAAGAAAAAAAAAAGTAAGGAGCAATTCAAATTTCACAAATATAATTTTATATCAAATTTTTAATAGTTGATTTTATATATATATTTATATTTTATTCATAGCTTTATTTTTTCCCAAGCAAGGGGATGAAAATATTTGATTATATTTATTTTCATAGACATTAGTAACTGTCGAAAAGAAGTTTGATTTATTTTAAAATTCTTTCACTACGAGTATTTTGTTGAGATTTCACTCTTTTGTTAAAATCTTTTACACATGGAGTTAGGGTTAATTTCACAATCGGTCATTGAACTTACGCTAAAATTACAAAACGGTCACCGAAGTTTAAAACATTCAAGAATGGTCACTTAAGTTTCGGGGAGCTTTCAAAAATGGTCGCTGAATTTTAAAAATTTTCAGAAACGAAGACTGAAGTTTAAAAACTTACAGAAACAGTCACTGAAGTTTAAAAACATTTTTTCAATTTTTTGGACTACTTTTGCGACAACTTTTCGGCCACTTCCAACCACCGATACCGTCGAATTTTAATACCATTGGAAATCCTACAATATCCTCTTCATTTACCAACCAAAATTTCCCTATGACTCGAGATTTGACCGAAAAATCGTCGCAAGTCACCCTCTGATTTTTCAGATGACTTTTGCGGCGATTTTTTGGCAACTTCCGACCAGAAGGACCGTCAAATTTTGACATCGTTTGAAAGCCCACAATGTTCTCTTCAATTACCACCCAAAATCTTCCCCAAACACCAAAGGATTCGATCGAAATAAACTTACAAAGTTTGCTGCCCAAAAAGGTGAAAATCTTGGAAGATTCTTCAAATTTTTTGGGCTACTTTTAAAGCAACTTTTTGGTAACTTTTGACCATCAATACCATCGAATTTTGATATCATTGGAAAGCCACAATGTCTTCTTCAATTACCATAAAAAATCTCCCCCAAATCCAAAGGATTCGGCAGGAATAAACCCACAAAATTGGCTATCCGAAAAGGTGAAAATTTAGGCAGATTTTTCAATTTTTTGAGAGACTTTTGCAGCAACTTTCCATCAATTTCCAACAACCAAGATCGTCGAATTTTGATACCGTTGGAAAGCCCACAATCTCCTCTTCAGTTATCACCAAAAATCTCCCCACACCACTGAATGATTTGGCCGAAATAGACCCACAAATTCAGCATTCCCAATCTGTGAAGATTTTCATCTTTTTGGGTAGTCGACTTTGTGTGTTTATTCCGATCGAATCCTTTGGAGTTTGGGAGAGATTTTAGATAGTGATTGAAGATGATATTGTGGGCTTTCTATTGATATCAAAATCCAGTGTCTTGATGGTGGGAAGTCGTCGCAAAATCGCCGCAAAAGTCCCCCAAAAAATCTGAAAAATCTACCCAGATTTTAGCATTTTTGAGCGAATTTTGCGACAATTTTTTCAATCTAATCCCTTAAAGTTATGGCGAGATTTTTGGATAGTAATTAAAGAGGACATTATGGCTTTCTAACGGTATCAAAATTAGACGGTATCGATGGTCAGAAGTGGTCGAAATGTTGCTGCAAAAGTAGCCCAAAAAACTGACTTTTTTTTTTTAAACTTCAATGACCATTTCTGCAAGTTTTTAAACTTTATTGACTGTTTCTGAAGGTACCCCGAAACTTAAGTGATTGTTACTGAAAGTTTTAAACTTCAGTGACAGTTTTACAATTTTCGCATAAGTTCAGTGACCGTTTGTGAAATTAACCCAATAGAGTTAATAATTCCTTAAAACATAATTGAATAATGCTACTTTGTTAGAAACATAATTTGCGTTTTAAAATTTTAAAAAAAATTCAATAATCCCTTATTTTTCAAGCCTTATTTAATTTTGCTGTCTCCCTTTTTGTATTATATTTGTATATAACCAAAAGGACATAAAAAATGACAGCTTAGAGAACCGAACAAATGACACGTCAAACACATCGTGAGGTCTACTTTACACATACAAATTTCAATAATAAACTCACAGTAATGCATAAGTTTTGTCTCTTGTACACTGGCCCCCTTATAAAGGGGGCTAGTTGACACCCAGTGTATAGGAACTAAAAGCCTCATGCATATGCAAGGGGCTTGATCGTGGCCCACATCCACCTCACTCCTCCAAGGACTAGATAATTGCTTCAGTTTTGTTTCTTGTACGTTGAAGTTGACAGGCCAGCTCATAAGAGGGGGCTCATGATCTTTTAATTGGGGATGGACCCCCTTTTGTGAGAAATTGTACACGGGGTGTCAATCCCAATGTACAAGAAGCAAAACTCTAAGTGCCTTCTCAATGATTTCTCTATTTTATACACGTATTAATCCTATAGTTACTTGAAATAATATTTTCGTCCAATATCAAAACTTACTTTTTATCACAATTTTCTATGATTTTACAAGAATTATATACTTATTTATTACTCATTTCTACTTATTTAAAAATCAAATCGTTTATAAATTCTTTCCAAACTAAGGCTAAGCAGGGGTAAAGCTAAGAATATTATTCAATGCAGACACAATTTAATCAACATCGAACTTTGAGTTTTTGGTCATGGATTTAATGATGATAAAAATATAAAATAATATTGCAACAATACTAAAATAACATAGTTTATAAATTATACTTGTTCATTGCGAGTTTTTATATTTTGATATCATTGTATAATAATTTTAAGTTAACTATGTAGCAATGCAGTAACAAATAGAAGAATCCCTTTTGAGATCTCCCTTCATTCTTATTGAAAGTTCCTCATTGAATAGCACCAATTATTCACTTCAACTTCATTCTGTAAGTTGGTTTAGCAAGTGAGCCATCATTCCAAAGTAATCCTTTTTCCCCGCATTATCTATAGCAATACAGCTAGAGTTCGAATTGATCAATCAAACTCAGCATATCTTGGTTGTTTAATTTGCTTTCATTTTTAGTTTTTAAAATCATAAATGCCCACCTTGGAAAAAGGAGATTGACATGACAAACGCTTTCAATCGATTCTATATAGCATGTTGGATTAAAATAAATATATGCAAGCTAACATTGAATCCCGAAAAAGAAGGGCTTATACAATAAGTGAAGTGCAAAAGATTGAAATTCTGCTTCATATTCAAACTTGAAAATAACTATCAAAATATTTGAGATCACCTATCAAACATGAATTTGTTAATTTTCGATAAAATGTTCAACTCAAAATGAATGAAATATAAAGAATTGAACTAAAATGGGGAGTTTAATTTACCGTGGAATCAAGAACAAGGCCATTCCTACTTTTGGAATAAAAGAAAAAACTTAGTTATAGACAGCAAAATCAAGTTAACCCTAATCAACCTATCAAGTAAAATCTACCCTCTATTTTTTTTCTATCTACGCTATATTGAACTATCAAAAAGTTAAGCCCAAATCAACCTCCATACGTTGATATTACTCAAACAAACATTTAACATA